AACTTATTGTAAAGAAAAAAATCATTAAAGCATATACATGAAAAATATCAGCTATGGAAGAACAAAATTAAATAGCATCTTATTCCACATTAGAAAGAAAAAAAGGGTCAAGTGTGTAAGAAACTAGACTAATTAAAGGACTGAAAGAAAAGAAAAAGATCTTTCCTCTTTGAATTTTATACTTAGCAAACATACCTTTGAAAACTAAAAGAATTTCTAGTTATACAAACCTGAAATATTTTAATACCTCCAGAAGTAGCATATAGGAAATAACAAAGAGCAAGAGAAGTTGCAGTACGCTCCTGGCTGAACAATAAAGAGCTCTCAATATGATAGTTATGCAGGACTATATAAAATATATTAGATGAGCCCTTATTTAAAGGTCATTGAAGATTTCTTTGAAACAGTACCAATCTTATGTTGGGTTATACATGTATTTACTTTCATATATATGTGTGTGTATGTGTGTATGAAAGACAGGGACGAAGTAATATAAAGTCAACAGAAAATGGAAATATACTTTTTAAAGTTTCTAATAGTAGGAGAAGATATTATATGGTGTCTTTTAAATAAATTTTAAGTCAAAGATACAGTATAAATCTTAGAGCAAAAATTAAGATTAAGCAATAGTCATAAAATTATATACTAATTAATAAAAAATTAAATGTTTCAAACATTTATTGTTCATCCAGGAGCATACTGCAACTTCTCTTGCCTTTTGAATTATGCTCTTTGTTATTTCCTATATGCTACATCTGGAGGTATTAAAATATTTCAAGTTGGTATAACTAGAAAATCTTACTTTTAGTTTTCAAAGGTATGCTTGCTAAGTATAAAATTCAAAGAGGAAAGATATTTTTTTTTTCTTTTTCAAAACTAAGAAAAAGTTTTCATGTACTAGAATGGCAAGTAAATGAGCAGCACTTCTAACAGTTTGAGGATAGGATATCACAAAAAGTTCTAGTGTGTTATGGACATGCATAATGTCCATGACAGTTACTGGTGGCCAGGCGTCACTTGTGGGACTGAGCTACAGCTATTTCTTTGAAATCCACCCTGCAGACCCAGATGGAATCATGACCCATAGGGTGGAAGAGAAGTCCATTTGTAGAATGTGCTGATGGAAATATTTTGCTACTGTACACAAAAGGATAACTGAATGACTACTATTGTATACCTCTTATTCTCCTGTCTTTGTTTGCCCTATTTGATGGATTCTTGCCATTCTCATTCATGGGGCTGTGATCAATTTGCTCCCTCTCCAGAACATCATTTAGTAGTCTGTGTAGGCTTTGCTTTGTCATCATGAAATTCTTTAGTTGTTCTTTGTCGTGGAAGTATTTCACTTCTCCATTATACTTGAAAGAGAGTTTTGCAGGGTATATCAGTCTGGGTTGGAATTTGTTTTCTTGCAAGACTTGAAATACTTTGCTCCTTGCTCTTCTTGACTTGATGGTTTGTGAAGA